CTAACCCATATGCTCCTAATTTGTAAACCATCATTGCAATTTTTTTTTCTCTCTCTGTAATAATAAAGCTATTCTCTGTATGCAGTGAGTAGGCAAATTGCTGAACCACGCAAATCTTATCTTGTGCAATTTGATGCTTTTCTCTTTTTGTTAACATATGAGTTTGTTCCCATCACATGCCTATGTTCTACCACAAAAATACCATCGACACTTCCATGGAAAAAACAAAATTTCCTTTTTTTTTAGCTTTCATAAGGCATTCGAAGAATATAAAGACAATAAGTTTGCATTATGTTGTTTAGGTTAAAAGTATTGTTGCATCCAAGTAAAAAGCTGAACATATCTAATAGGGAAGCATAAAGGAAGAACGATACATCTGATAAGCTATGTTGCTCAGACACTCAGAAGATGTCGCGGGGTGCGTATTGGATCCTCCAAAAGTAGTGTATTTTTGGACGATCCGACACGGGTGCGGCAACATTATTGGAGAGTCCGAGCAACTTAGCTGATAAGCTCACTTGAGAGAACTGTTTACTACTAACCAAAATTACCCAATGTGATTATAATATTTACCTAATCTGTAACAAATGCATACCTGAAAATGAAGTATGGTAGGCTTCACCAATCTTGTATTGTAAAAGAATTCATAATAGTTGCCACCCTTTTTAACCTGCTTACATTCCTGGCAAAGCAATCACATAGAAGATCAAAAAAATTTAAAATTCTACTTTGGCAATACAGAATTAAAGTCCTAACTTTCCTTAAAAGAAATAGAGAACGGAAGATACAGACCTTATCTACAGCTTCTCCCGACAAAGGTATGTTTTCATAATTTCTGTATTGTTCTAGCCTTGTCAATCTGTAGCTTTGCCTGGTTATATTCAATCTGTCCCATGGAATACCTTGTATATCTTTCCCTTTCCTTGATTGTGCAGCAGATGTATCAGTCCCTTCTGTTACCTACCCAGTTTCACAAATTTAAAAAAAGTAAATTGAGTACACCGTTGATATACGACACCAAAGTAATCAAATATTCATGCATTCACTTGATGTGTAGTCATTTCAATAATTCAAGGTAACTAAAAAACAGATCGAAATACCAAAAACTCATCTCGGTACTATAGCACCTGATGAAATAGGACATTTGGAAAAAGTACTCAATGTGAAAAGAAAGGTAACAGGACTATGTCAAATTAAATAAGTGCTTGGCTGTTTATCAATAGAACTTTCAAACGAAGAAAATCTCTAGGAGGTACATGCTTTGCTGCCAAAAATTACAAAACCATAAAGCAAAACAAGAGTGCAGAATCCAATATACGCCGAAACAATTATTTGCTAAACTGCTAGACCACCTGAAAGACAATACTTTTCAACACTACATCAACACCAAAACAAAAAGGAGAAGAGAAGGGAAGCATATTACAGACCTAATATAACTAGATAAACATGTTCTCTCTCTAACAGATTGAGTTTTAGATGATGTGATCAACATCTAACATGGCATCATAGCAGACAAAGGTCCTTGATTCAATCCACACTGGCAGGCATTATTAACAAAAGGAACTTCCACACACTCGGGCCAAAGAAGAATGAGTCGGGCCAGAACATAGGACATGTCGCAAACCTAATATAAACAGATAGACGAATTCTTTTTTTTGATAAACGAATTCTCTCTAACAGGTTAAGCTTTATGTTGAGGTGGTCACTCAATTCAACCGCATTAAAGCAAAACTCAATACAAACCAGAGAATAGGAATAAGTAAAAGTGTATATGTACTAACCAGCTCAAAGTCATCAAGATTCGTATCCTCACGGTAGAAAACCTCTTCAAATTCATCCATTGAATCTGCCATCTCTTCATCAAGACTCATGTAATCCAATCGGTCAATCCTTTGGTAAGCCATGCTTTCCTGCAAAACCCTTCAACCCTGAGTTCAAGAAAAGTCCAGCAAAACCAAACACACAGTTTTCTCAGATATAGAGACAAAAAAATTAAAAGCCCCAAATTAAAACAGACATAAAAGGAGCAGAAAAAAAAGAAAAAAACAAAAATGTCAGCATTCTCATATCTCTAGGTGAAGAACCCAAATTGCTAAATTGGAAATCGCTC